ACAATAAATACAAATAAATAGATAAATAAATAAATATATATATATATATATATATATATATGAGCCCGGAACCTTTAGGGTTTATTTAGCATAGAGTTTTTCTTTTCGCTTTAAATACGGAATATAAACAATTTAGTATACAAGTGTATATTTATACCTTTGTAGGAACCATAAGTTCTACTTGAGAGTCAACTTCGCCTTGTGTCTGTGGATACCATTACTGTTGATGCTTGTGTTTTAGACAAGTCGCACATCTAACCTATTTATCCGTTTGGATGCAACAAAACGATCAACCCTCCACACCGGTGTTGCATATCTTAAATGCACTTGTTTTCTGCAGCTTTCTTTGTTTTCATCTGCGGCTTGTTCACTTATTAGTGTTTGTGATCTTTATAATGCTGATGCGATGGCAATAGTATGCTTACTGGTGTTCCTAGCATTGAAAGCACAACTAACTTTATGAACATATTATGACTTATGTGAGTAATATTGGTAATGTTCGCAATATAAGTACTAGTCCTAGCGCGAGCTGTCAATATAAGCAAAAAGCATGGCGTGTTGTGCGGAACATTCGAAGTCGAGGATTACTTGTGCTAAGCATAAGTTTGACACATCTTATGCTCCCAATTTGACAGTTCGTGACTTCAATATCACCAAATAACATTGCAGTGTGTTGGCAGGATTGCTAATTAACAATAACATCACGACAATCCTAATCATCCTAATCTTGCTGGTAGTGCATATGTCTTTTGACAAGTCTACTACGAAACTGCACTATCTGTCAGATTAGCCATATGACTAGTGCGAGTACTATTAATGTTCCACACTCTTTAGTAGGGGCCTCCTGAATAAAGTCAAAATGGCCGGGCTGTTCAGGACACTCCGACTGTTTGGGTTTGGGGGCGCGCGTTGGGATCCTGAATAAAGGCAAACCGTCCGGGCGCCGTAAGAAAATTCCACGTGGCGCGCCTTTATAAAGGATTGCTGGGCATCGCTGCCCTGTAAACTTATCCTAACTCCTCTCTAATAAATTCATATATATCCCGTGGACAGTGTAAACAGGAACAAGAAAGGGGGGGGGGGGGCAGGTCTAAAGAGGGTGCAACATCAGTGTTGTGAGCAATGTTTTTTAGCCCACCACTGGGAAACTCAATAATGTCACTAACAATAGTACCATAGCGTCATTAGCCCCTGTGGCATGATTAGTCCGATAAGATTATAATGTGAGATCAATTAGTAATATGATTAATGCGAGTAACATGAGTGCTAGCAAACCTAATACAATTTATGACACTGGTAAGCTTGGTAATGTTGTAAATGGAATTGCAATTTCTTGTACCATTTACTTTTAGTTATGCTATTGATCGTGCTAGTAAGCTAATACGCCTACTATACCGAACATTGCTGAATATAATACTAGTATCACGCTACTGACATTAGTAGTATTGGGACCATTCCTATAAACATGAAGAAAGGTTTACTTCTTGAGCTGTATTTTAGCTGCAGGATGGTTTGCGGTTAGTACTCCAGTGACTCTTTGGGCAGGGACTTTACGAGGATACTCTACGGCTGCGCGCTTCAGCGATTCTGGAATATTCTAGCACAAGCCTTCCAGGGCTTTTCCGGTGATCCTTTCGGTTTATTTTGGAATACTTTGGGTTTTGGTATTCTAGAGACTCTTTCGGGCAACCGTGCAAACCAATGAGTGATTTAGAAACCAAGTAAACTCATATTTTTCTAGAAGTACGTGGTGCAGGGAACTTTGTGGCCCACGCCGCAGAGCGATAGTGATAACAGCAAGAAATCACTCGGGGGCTCTCTATGACATGAGTGAGTGTTGTAGGAACCAAGTAAATTTCGTCATACAAACACATGGTGTAGGTCATTTGTTAACCGACACCACATAGGAACAGTGAGAAGACTATGAAATAACTAGGCCACCGTATATTAAATCAGTATGTGGTGTGGAACCAGGGAGCGTTGTGACCCACAATACGTAGGAACTGAATCACTGGGCAACCGTACATTAAATCAATAAGAACTAAGCAGTTTTGCTTGTGCAAGCAAAGAACAATGAGAAAACCATTTAGTCACCAGGCAACGGTATAAAGTAATGAATCCACTTATACAAACACATGGTGTAGGCAGTTCTGTGGCCCACACACGCATAACAATATCACCATGTTTACTATTCATATCAATAGCGTTCTTAGCAGTGCTGGCATTGCTCATGTCCATTATATTTTGTGTTAGCGCGATCCGAAAGCAAGGCCCTTGCAAGGACGCTGTGACTTTTCCTCGATACCATACGAGTACTATGCTGATACTACACGAATACTTTACCGTTGCCAGACTAGGTACCAGCACCAAGACCAAGACCAAGAACAGTACTAACACGAATGCTAAAACTACAAGAAACTCTATACTACACTACACTATACAAAATAGCCGGGACATAGCCGGGACTTTTGGGGTCTCTTTCGTTGCGTTTGTTTCATTCCTATCAAACGCTCGTATATGTATATTGTCAAAAAACTTTAAAGATGCACATGCCGAATAATCCGACGTCCTATTTTATCTTGTCTTTTGGACTTGCATTGTTTTTGGCTTTCGCTTTGCTTTGTTTTCTTTGCGTGCTGCTTGCCTACATTTAACATGCGGTTTGCTCATGGATCCATGACACGAGCAAAAAATCCTACACTGCTATTCTGAAAACGAATTCGTGGTGTTGTGGTCATGATAACTGTTCACGTTGCTGTTCTTGCACGCTGCTTGCCTATGTCTTTTCGAACTTGTGTTCTTCATTTATCTATAACACTTGGATCGATGAGAGGCGCTGGCAAGCTAAACAGCAAAAACACTCCGCCCGAGTTTCATTTCATGGGTTCGCGTTGCAGCTTCAGACTTTTACCCATTCGTGCCAACCCACAGCCCGAAAACATCCAGCACCTAGCCCTCCAGCATTAAACAAAACACATGAGCGAAATGGACCGAAAGGCTGCTCGTTCATATATATATATATATATATAATGTTTTTACTTACTAGTCTATATGTGCTCAATTACGTAATTTCATTGAGACAGTAGTGCACGTGCCTTTGCCATTTGACATTTTGGATAGGTTCTTACAACAAAACATTTGTGGACTCTGCTTGCGACTTGTCAATTGTTGATATATTCCGTAGCAAACCAACGGGGACACTGCTGGCGATCTGTGATTTTGGGACATCTTCTTTCAACAAAAAAACTACGGGGGACACTGCTTGCGATTTGTGAATTCAGAAGAAAACTAAGGGGGGACACTGCTTGCGATTTGTGATTTTGGCATATATACTTTCAGGATTAAACTTATTGGGGACACTGCTTGCGATTTATGATTTTGGGACATCTTCTTGCAGCATAAAAACTAAGGGGGACACTGCTTGCGATTTATGAGTTTGGATAGTTCTTCATTCAGCAAAAAACTGTGGGGAACACTGCTTGCGATTTGTGATTTTAGCACATACTCTTTCAGCAAGAAAACTGAGGGTGACACTGTTTGCGATTTAGGAGTTTGGATAGTTCTTCATTCAGCAAAAAACTATTGGGGACATCGCTTGCGATTTGTGATTTTGGAGTTCTTTCAACAAAATCTCATGGGGACGTATCCATTACATTACATTCCGTAACAAACTAAGGGGGACACTACTTGCGATTTGTGATTGTGGGACATCCTCTTCTTGCAGCAAAAACAAACTAAGGGGGACACTGCTTACGATTTGTAACTTTGGAGAATACTCCTTCAACAAAAACTATATATGGCGTACACTGCCTGCGATTTGTGAATTTGGGACATCTTCTTTCAGGGGACACTGCTTGCCATTTGCGAGTTTGGCGCATACTCTTCTAGAAAAAACTAAGAGGGACACTGCTTGCGACTTGGGAATTTGGTACATAGGCTTAGAGGAAAAATATGGGGCACGCCGGGCACACTGCTTGCGATTTGTGACTTGGGACCATTTTCCTTACAGCAAAAAAAATAAGGGTGACACTGCTTGCGATTTGTGAATTTGGGATATATTCTTTCAGCAAAAAGGACTATGGGTGGACACTGCTTGGGATTTGTGATTTGGGGGCATCTTCTTGCAGCAACAAAAAATAAGCGGGGACCCTGCTTGCGATTTGTGATTTTGGGACATCTTCTTTCAGCAAAAACCAAGGGGGACACTGCTTGCGGTGTTTGATTTTGGGGCATCTTCTTGCAGCAAAAAATTTGGGGGACACTGCTTGCGATTTAGGAGTTTGGATAGTTCTTCATTCAGCAAAAAACTATGGGGGACGCTGCTTGCGATTTGTGATTTTGGAATTCTATCAACAAATTCTCATGGGGACACTGCTTGCGATTGCTCAATTCCATTCCGTAACAAACTAAGGGGAACACTGCTTGCGATTTGTGATTGTGGGACATCCTCTCTTGGGCGCCCTTTGGTTGGTGGCAGAAAGTTTAACCTTTTTTCAAAAAATAACAATTTCAATTTTCCGAACCCCTGGAGCCCTAGTGGCCGCTGTAGGCACCATCCAGGACCATTGGTCCTGCGCAGAAGGCAGGTATCAGCAAAAGTTCGGTGTTGGTCAAGGTGGGGCTTACACGGGTTTATGACCTAAGGTCCAAGATTTGGCTTTGGCTTGCGGTTCCAATCAAACAGCCAACTGTGAACAGACCAGCCCCCCTGCGAAATTCTGACCCTGAAAAAAACTTAAGGACATTGGGGTTTTCCAAGATGCTTGTAGAATGGCTGCTATGGGGTATGTCTAAGCTTTGTCTCATAGTCTTTCAAACCGAACTTGGTTGACAATGCTTGAAAGTTTGTCATTGTTTTCCGTCATTGGACCTCGGACAGCACGTTCGTGAAACAATTCCCAGCTGAACTGATCCTGACACTGTCGGTTTAGCATCAAGCTCTAGCATCTTATGACTAGTCGTGACTCTGACTCGATCTTCGTGATTCATTGCGGCTCGCCTCAGCGCCTTAGGACAGTCAGCTTCGTGAGCAATCCTTCAAGATCCAGCTCTGCCTGGCCATTGCTGCTGCCAGATGACACTGAGACCTGAAACGTCAAGCGTGGGTGCTTCGGCTTTTCCGGCACGCAGCCCCGGAAAACCTGCAACTTGCAACCGACGTTCGATGTAGCTCCAAGCAAAATTTTGGCCACACTGCGGAACTGATCACAAAATGCGTCGGTCAAATAAAAATACAGGTGACACTGCAAAGCCGGTGCAAAACATATGCATGACCCTGAACGTGTTTTTGACAGAGCCCATTCTTTCGAGGCGACTCTGAGACCATAGAGCCGTGCAAGCAATGCATCCTCTGTGTACCAGCCGGACGCCACATCCTGCATGAGAACCACCTGACACTTTGAAATGTCTGCTTCAAGCAGGTACCTGCTCCAAAGCGGCACCGTCGCCCCCCCACTGGCGAATATGCGGATGCGCTCAGGCAACGGAGGTGCAGCATCAGCTTTGGGACTTGGTTGGGGCAGCTTGACTCTGTACACACCATTCACAGCCATGTGTGGAACCGGCTCCCCTGCTTTCAAAGACTTCACCAATTCCAGTTGTGTCTTCTGAACTTGCTCATGTCTCTCGAGCAGTGACGCCACCTTCTCGGGACGCTGCAAGGACCTTGCAAACACATGGCGCAAGAGTGAGCGAGCACTCATTTGTTTAACTAAAACGGAAATAAAGAACAAAACATCCTCACGATGGGGCGCTATTGACGACAAGACTCATCATGTCTTCATCCTCAGCTTGTTCTGGCTGCTGCTGGTGTTTTCTCTTCAGGGCGACGATGTCGGCAACGGACACTGAGGCACCAGACCGTGCTTCAGCGACCTCGTGCTGAGCATCCAGAATCCTGTCCATGGAAGCGGCCTTTCCAGATGCATTGACAATTCTGTCGATAGCCTGCTTGTGCTTCTTCTTCTCGCCTTGCAAAGTCAGCACGTTTGACTCTGATTGTGGCCTGCGAATTGAGTTAAGCTTGGGCTTCTCATCCTTCATGCGGTCGGCCTGGAGAGTGAGGCTTCGGCCACTGCATTTTTTCTCTCCAAAAAACTCTTTGTAGATGGCTTGGCATCGCAGGCCGTACGCCGAAGCCCGATGCCGCACGCGCTTCTCGGCAGATGCCACCGGTCCAAGGAACAAAGCATCTGGGTCAAAGGAGCCGCCTGCTCGTCGCCCCGTGAAGCATTGAACGTTGCATTTGACACTGGACTCCAAGATGCGAGGGCCCAGCTGCATGGCCCTATGTTTTAATTCTGTCAATCTGACCTGTCCGAGGTCACGCTCCACACCTGTGGTGCCAGTCATGGTAACCATGGCCTTGGTGATGACCCTGATGGCAAGGCTGCGGGCAGCACGTTGCGCGGGCTTGAGGTCTTGAAGGGTGACCAGCCAAGCAGCCGTGGATGGACCATACAAGTCGTTCGCAGCTGAGCTTTTCTCCGATGCAGCAGCGATGTTGTGGTAGAAAAACTGCGCACGCGCGAACAAGCCCAAACGTGGGCCTTGGCCAGATTCCCAATCGCAAGGGCCCATCAGCTCTTTCCTTATAATGACACTGATACTGCAAAAACAACCACAACAAACTACGGATGTTGACTTTCAGCTTTTCTTCGTGACTCTGCGACTGAGGGGCCACAATGCATCATGGTCACATCTTTCCATCATTGACACTGTCTTCAAAAGCGTCTTCCGATGTTGGAAGGACAGACTTCGATCCAATCGTAGTGCAGCGAATGCATTGATTTGCTCGAAGCCTGGAAAGTACGTTTTGAAAAAACAGGTAAACAGTTCGTGGATCTGGAGCCCGACAGCTTCGTAATGACTCCTGTCATCCTCCACCGGGATCGCAGCCGCGCGCTCTGTTTTGTTCTCCCAGTAAGTCACGACACTGACCCTGCGCAATGTTGCACGTGTCTTCTGGAACATCGTGTCCCGTGCAACAGTTTCGTCGAAGAGGCCGCCATCCTTGAAGATGACTTCGATCTTGTGCAAGGCTTCTTGAACCTGTCCAGGGCGCAGGAACAATGCGTCGTATTTCTTTCGGCCCAAGACCGAGTGTTTTGCATTGGGCATTCAATTTTGGAGCTCCTTTATTAACACAATCCCGGACTCCCTGGACTGGCACCCCTAAGAAAACAAGACCCTGAAGACCCTGGCCTCGGAGGCTTTCAAAAAGACCTCGGCATTGCCCGCGTCGTCCTTCCGCAAGAAGCTTTGACAAATTAAAAGGCCGTCGGTTCCCATGGCCGCAGTGCAAATGCGTCGCCAGCTGCCGGGGCCGGTCAGACGGGCCAGGCAAGCCCTCGCCCATTTCCCGTCCTCCGCATCTCCCTCCTTTGTTAGGATGGTAAGGAACTGGAAAATCTCTGGCAGGAGCACGAACATTCTCTGAGCTGGCTCGGTGACGGAATCAAACCTTTGCATGGCAAAAGAGAAGTTCGTGATCGCCCGGGCAAAGCGCTTCACTTCGGCCATCTGATTCTGACCCTGACCCTGGGCATCCTTGAAGAAGTGGACATATTTGCCGCTGTTCCTGTGAGGAGGCATATGTCTTCCAAAGGCTTATGGGTCCTGACCCTGGGTTGCCTAGCATCCCAAAGCAAAAATATTTCACGTTCTACTTCAAAGCCACGTGTCTTCAGCATTCGCGCCAGGCTTTTCTCGCCTGTCGTGAATGCTGCAAGAAACTGCTCGCAAAGATCATTCAGCCCAGCATAAACGCCTTTCATGACTGACTGCGCTCGGTGAGCTCGGTCACGTGATACCATGTTCACATTTTTGAGGACCTCCGCGGTCAAAATTGGGATAGCCCCCTGCTCCGATGGACCTCCATCAGCCACGACACTGACAATGATGTCCTGGCGGGAACCATGGCGCAGCTACTGTGAGGAACACAATTGGAGAACGGGGCACGGGGACATCTGCCTTGCTAGGTTCATGCATGTGGTACTGCACTTTGCGTAAAGCTCCGCTGCCTTGAGGTGCGCGAAAGCCTCCTCGTCCAACTGGTCGCCTGGGCCGCTGACGAAGTCGTCGGCTCTCGGGCCGCTCCTGACTCTGCAAGCATTTTTCAGGATCTGCTCCACGCTCATGGCGGACGCGCGAGCTCCGCTGCCTTGCTCGCGTTCGCACCCCAGGAGGCATTCGTACAATCCTGACGAGCTCAGGTGCGGATTGTTGTTGAGGCCACTGTACCAAAATCTGGCTCTGACCAGCATGAGGTCTTGCCTCACATCCAACGCAATGCTCCCGACACTGGCCTTGCGGATGACTAACAAGTCTTGACGCCGAAGGGGTTGCGCTAAACACACCACCATTTTGGCGCACGCTTGTCTGGACATGTCTCCGCTGAACGCAAGCGGCGACGCGACTCTGAGGCTTTTCACCAGCTCTGCATAGTCGTTGAAGGTATCGTGTCTCGCTATGATTTGTCCAGCGAGATGGAATTTTTCTAGTCTCGGAATGCTGTCCCCCAGGCCTGTGTACGCACCCTCCTCCGCCAATTCAGATCCGGCCAGTTGCTGTCGCATGGTCCGCGTTGCTTCTTGATGACTCTGGGACCCTGCGTGTTTCTGGAACGAACTCGGGCTGATCGTTTGCAGATCTGCGACCGCTAGCCTCCCAAAGGTGCTGTTGCCCTTGCTAGCTGGGAAGTGTGCGCAAATCCAGCACCCCATACCCCAAGGGTGCCCAGGCCTTGCAGTCAGCCACGTTTTCCTGCCTGCCGTCGGGTGCTCGAATGTGAAGTTCTCCGCCCAGCTGTGAGCACTTGAAGGGGCCTGCAGACCCTGAGAACCACGACGCAGCATGCCGCTGAAACCTGCCTGAAATCGGCACCGGGCGCATCGCCCACAACCGTCCGGGCACTGCTCCCAGTGCTGCTCCTCACTTTGCCAGCCATCGCCCTGCCCTCCACCAGGGACTGTGACGGCCAATGTCAAGGGGTGGGACGAGGAGAAACAGTCAGGTCTGGGCCTGCCAAGTTCAAGGAGCTGCGCTGCATCATCCATGACTGAGAGTCACAGCTCCGGAAGGCGGAGCCACGCAACGTGCTTTGACACACAGCATGCGCCTGCGTGTTGCATCTTTGAACTTTGAACCCACTGAGCCTGTCCTATTTCTGTATGCTTATAGTGGCCCTTTGGCAAAACATTTACCTTGCTGCTACAATCACTTCTGGCTCATGCTACTTTGAAACGCTGCACAGGCATCGTCCGAAAAACTTTGACACGACAACTCTAGCGGCTCTACCGAAGGCTGTTCAGTCGACCAGAACGGTTGAGGTCAAAAGCAGCGGTCCTGCATCACCGTCAAGGTGAGTTGCGGCCGTTCGCCGGGCCTGGGCGTACTGCATGAATTGTTACTATTTGCCTACTTTAAATGTACTACTTCTTCAACGAACGTAGCAGACTTACGTACTGAGCTGAAGGGCAGAAGGGCCTCAAATGCCCCTAAACGAACTTTTCTATGCCCGAAAAGTCTTCCCAAGGCTGCGTTTCTGGGTTTTCCGGGCACTGCAACAAGATGGCTTTCTCTCTCTGCAATGCTGCTAACGAACTTTTCCGCTATGAAAAAGTTCGTTTGGGGCAGTTTCGGGCCTGTTTTCCGATCATTGCCTTCCATGCAACAGCTCATGGATGAATGGAAACTAGAGAAGGCATTGTTGCTCCTTGCAATGGTATTCTTATCTTCTGAAACACAACGTTGTTGATTCTGTCCAGGCTTTCTGGTATGCTCATGTCCTGCAGGATCCGTGGTTTCAACAATTCAACGCTAAGCTAATGGAACTTTTTGCGGCCAAAAAAGTCTTGTGGAGCTGCGTATAAAGGCCTTGGAGCCTCCTGAAGCTTCAGATTGCTGAAACTTCCTAATGCTGCTTTAACGCACCAGACTGAGGTCAAGGGACACCAGAAGCGTATTTAGCCCCGCGGGCTTGAAAATGCCCCTAAATGAACTTTTCTGCGCGCGAAAAGTCTTTCCAAGCCTGGGGGTCAGCCTGACACAGCGACGCGGTGGTTTTCTCTCAGAAATGCTGCAAAGGAACCTTTCCGCCAAAGAAAAGTTCGTTTCTCGGGCTGCAGAGCATACTGGGTCAGCTCGCACAGGGTTGGAACCAGAGCTTGGAGGGCACCAACAACTGAGTACCCGGCCACACTCCTCTGGAAGCGGATTCCCCACACCTGTCATCTTTTGCTGTTTCTGGATGCAAGTGGCCCCAACGGACTTTTCGGGGCATAAAAAGTTCATTCGGGTGGTTTTTGCAGCCAGAAACCACATGGACAGCGCCTGCCTGGCGCCAGAAGCACCAAAGAACTGTTCACTACAAGGGAGGACAGGGGCTTTGTTCTGACGGTAAGTCACTGCTGGAAGGTCGACACGTGCCGAGACGCGCAAGAAGTAAAAGCACAGGCACAACGTAGCATTGTCTCGCACAGCGCGGCTTCCTTGAGTGCCGGGCTGTTCTGCTGTCGGGCTCCGCCATGTAAGCCTCAAGGCATTTCAGGGAAGGAGTTGCAAGAGCACAGTGACTCTGACATTCAACCAGGTGGCTTTAAACAACACGCAGGCCTGCAATGGCTTGCGGGAAGTAATTTGCACAACACCGAGCCGCGGGCTGCATCATCAGTCAGCCTCGTGACACGAAGTTGGCACACACGCTGCCGCAAAACAGATCCCTTGCTCGAAAACGTGCGACGGTCGGCATTTTCGCTTTGCTTCTCTGACACTGACACTGTGTCTCCCTGACAGCCTCACGCTATCTGACACTGACAACTCCTGCGCAGTGTCACGTAGCACTGCTTGCAGCCCCATCTCCCTAACAGTGACAACTGACTCCGGCGCAGCGCTGCTGCTGCGAGGGCTCTCAGCCCTGACGGAGTAGGACGCGGAGTTGCGGCGTGACGCAGTGAGCCAGCTTTTTGACTGCTTCTATGTCCACCTCACTGGGCGCGACTCTGCCACGGGCAGTTACTGAGGTCTGCAGCGCCTGAAACCACTCAGTAATCGTCGCCTGTCGATTTGGGTCTTCTGCACGTTGCTCTTGTTCACTCTCTGTCTAAACCGTTCCTGGCTCTAAATTCTCACGATTACTTACCCCCGGACTCTCTTCCCTGCCTCTGCTGCAGTTTGCAAGGTGTCCAGCGCGTCTGGCGTGAACTTCGTGGCGTACTGCTTGACGCTGACACTGTCCGTGTCACTGCGAACCTCACGAAGAACCTCTTCTGCCAGGTCCTTGAAGTGCTGTCTGGCGATGAAGAGGCAGTTGGAGCGTTGCGACCAGAACCGGATCTGTTGCTCGACCCGTCGTGTGTAGGTGGCGCCTTTGCATGGCCCAGACTTCTTCTTGGTCTTGACACTGACAGGGACCTTGGTACGACGAGGCACAGAACGTCTTCCAAGGGACCTTGCACGAAATCACGCCGTGGCACCGGTACGTTCAGAGAGGCTGGACTGGTCTTCGCTCGAAGTCGTCGGAAGACACTGACATTGCCCTGGCCCTCCTGACACTTCTCGCTCGGGCAGACCGCAGTTCGATGTGGTGGGAACAACCAGTCCTCCATCAGCAGGGACACCAGCTTCACTGCTGTCCCTGAAGAAGCAGACTTCGTTGCTGCCTGGCAGGCTGATTTCTTGAGAAACTAACCGCCGACCACTCTGCACACTGCCTGCGCTTGCCCAACCATGGCCTGAGCAGAAAACGCGCAAGAGTTGCGATTGCCCCACACGGACAATGTGATTACTTCTGCCTCGGCCCGGGCCTTGGTCTGTGTCGCCGCCCTAACCATGAAGCTCAGCGGCAAAATCGAAAGGCAGGGGCTTTCAATGATCTCGGCTTCTGCCACCCTGCTTGGCCCCCAAAAAATGGCGTCATACATGTTTGGCCCACGCGTTCCCCAAGACATTTTTGGAGGTTGGTGAAGGCTGCGCATCGCTGCGCGGTTTCTGTCTCTGTGGGCTGCTGGGCAAGCAGTAGGTAGCAATTTTCACGATTGCCGCGAGACTCACAGCAAGGCTGCGCAGCACAACGTCGCACTTACTCACAGGTATCACGCCGAGGCAAGGTTCCTCGCAGCTTTGGCTTGCAGACGTTGGGGAGAGGGTTATCTTCAGGGTTGAGGGATGATTAATTAACAAACTTCTGGCTGTCACCAGACACGAAGCTGCAGCGACGGAACCTCTGACTCTGACGAGTGACATTGCCGGAGTCCATCAGTAAAAATCTCTGGGCTGGTGGCTTGCTTTGAAGACTCAGGTCTCCTCGGCTCCTGACTCTGAGAGTTGTTCCGCATCTTCCCCCAAACCCGTCAAAGCAGTGGAGGTGTCAGTCACTGCCATGCGCTCAGGCCCATGGCTCACCGGCGTTGCATCGTCGCCGCCCAATGATTGAGCGCGGGTCAGGACGCGCCCAGATGCACCAGGGCTGTTGGTGAGCGCGAAGCCGGGCGCCTGACTCTGAATGCACAACGCTACTTCCAGGAGAAGCCCCTGCAAAAGCACAGCGCGGGTGAGTTCGCTGGCGCAATAGCCTCGGTAGGGACGTCTGTCCCGGATGGCTGCCATTGCGGCTGAGAAGCCAGCGCAGAAGTCGATGATTTGTGTCTTTTGACACTGCTCCTCTCTGACTCTGGGATCAAAGATTTGGAAGAGCTCTCTCGCCTGGGCCTCGTCAGCCTCCCAGGCAAACATGTCGAAGCTGGCCGGGGCCTCACCCTCCTCTTCTTCCCCCCCGGTGTCGGACTCATCTTCCTTGTCCTTTTTGGTCTTCTGACTCTGATTCTTGTTTGCATCTTCCTCCGGGGACACCATCTGCAGAAGGAGTGACTCGGACACTTTGTCATAGCTGCGGAAGGAGTATGGGCGGAGTGACATGCGAGTCCAAGCTCGGTCGCGGGAGTCGCCTCCGAGGTCGACAAAATTCCGGGAGCGCACCGGCAACTTCAAATCCTTGCTCAACACGACACTGATGCTTTCGACAGGCTCAGGGAGAGACGACGCGGTCGTGAAGACTGCCTGGCCGGACTCGCGCTTCTGCGCAGCGAAGCTTCCTGCACGGAATTCGTTGTTGTCATACACGAGCCGCAGGGTGCCGACTCGGTTCTGAAGCATCTCTTTCACGGACTCCCTCTGCTTCGCTTGCGTCAGGCAGGATGACACTGTCTTGGCATTCTTCGGCACGCGCCCATCGTGGACCAACAAGATGTCATCTTTGGTGAACATAACCTCCTCCTGGCTTTTCTCCCCAAACAAAACAGACATCACAGTCTTGAACCCCTGACCCATGACCGGCTTGATCCTGAAGGGGTGCCCAGAGGTCTTGTTGGGTCCACAGCTCACATCCTGAGTCTTCACATCGTAGCGGAAAAGCTTCTGCCGAGCAGGGAGGGAACGCAGCGATTGCCTCCATGTAGATGCATCCACACACCGCACTTGCAGGTCGCAGTACGAGTTCCGACCTTCAGCGCATGGTGTTGCGCAGCATGTCGAGTCATTCTGTCACTGCCTAGCGACAACCCGCGCGAGCAATGTTTCAGCTGAGGCACGGATCGTCGCGTCGTCCAGAAGCTCTTGAAACTTCACGTCGCACGGGTTGCGATGCAGCAGGTCTTTCACCAAAGGCGGCACCTGCAAGTGAGCAAAGGATGCCATGCGGTCCAGACCAGGAACCACCTTCTCTGCGTCACCCTCTGGCTCCGAATCGACTCTGACCTCTGGCTCTGCCGTGTCCTGTCGGGATACATACTTATATTTATAGCATCATCCATCATGGCTTGAGCAATGCACTTCAATGCACGGCACGGTCCTGGCATTGTTCCGTGTCCACCTTCTCGGCAGCGGCGGGCTGAGCATCCACAGGCTTGGGACTCACTTCCTGGGGCCGGGGATTCTCAAATTCCGTTTTCCGCTCCAGCAGATTCTGGTGATCGTAGAGTCCAGCTTTGGCGAAGGCCATCAAGCATGCCTGTCACAAGGATCTTGTGAGTCAAGTGCTCTAGTGGACACTGACAAACCTACAAACACATAATTACCTGGCACTTGCTAAAGACAGGAGATGGCGCCAGTCTGTTGCCTCTTTACACTGCCCTGAGTCATGACGGATGCCGGTCACTTGTTTTACTTCCAGGGCTGCAGGTCTAACAACCTTTTAGAACTGCCTCGGCAGGAGTTTAAAACTCAAAATATACATCCCGGAGCCTCGGCAGAGGCGACAGGGTCGGCTTGCAGCACCTCCTCCAAAATGTCCATGTAGGCCTTGGATCCACGAAGAAGCTTTGCTGAGAAGTGAACGACTTCAGCAAGGAAGTCGGGGACTCCAGCCAGCCACGGACAGGCATCCGAGCTTCTCAGCCCGGAGGAGCGAAATCCTGGCACTGACCCAAGGTGGGTAGACAAGACCTGGGTACTGTCGCCCTTCAGTTGGAACTTGCGGATCATGTAGTAAATGATCCTGCGAATGGCCAGGACCATGGCAATTTTGGTCTTCAGAGCGTCACCACCAATGTTCGGAGAGATCTTGCCATCCAGGATCCAGTCGGTCAATAGAAGCGAGGCGAACTCGAGCCTAGGCTAGCACCAAAGCAGAAGAGGTGTTCAGAAAACCTACAAGCTGTCAAGTCAGAAATGCCGAGCAAGACACAGTGAGCTTTGAAGGCTCGCGTCGCTGCGGACGCCTGTCTTGGCGCACAAGATGTCCAAGTTGCTGTGGTTGGCAAAAGTGTGCGCCAAGCCATGCGCGCCGTACTTGGAATCCAGAGCAGCAATGGCCAGTACAGCCTCTGGCACCGCATCGAAACGTTCTGCAATTTTGAGCATGGTGCCAATGACCTTGTCGCTGAAGCTTTTGACTCCGCCACTTTTGAAAGACTTTGCCATGGATGCATGGCTGGAGTTCTTGCCCTCTCGCTTCAGCAAGCCCTCAAACTGTTTCACAGCACGCGCACGACTCAGCCCTTGAAGGACTTGCGTGTCCGCCAACGAGAAAGCCTCTTCGGCGAGACACCACTTCCTTAATTCCAGGGCCTGATCTGTGGTGATGAGTTCAAACCTCACCCTCATGGATCGGGAGCGCTCTTCAAACTCGCTGGCATCTGACCCTGACATGAGACAGGCGTGCCAGGCGTAGTAAAATGCGCATCCTTATCTGTGTGGAGCCGGTGAGGCACGGATCCCAACCCCAGCAAATGTGTCTAGGCACATGTGTTAACCATGCACCAACCATAATGCCGACAGGACACGATAGGCATCGTTGTTCAACGTCTCCACGAACTCAGGCTTGGGAGGAGCATCCGGCGAGATCGCCCGCACCGCAATGGCTTCGAGGAAACCATCCCTTGCAGCGTACTTTTGCTCTTGATGATCGTAGAAATGCTGCTTGGCGAGTCGCTCGATGGAACCTGGGAGCACCTATATCGCACGCCCTGACTCTGTGCAAGTGCCGACTGAGTATGCTCAGTAATTAGTGCAGGCATGACACCCAGGGTGGGGGGCAAACTTCGATGCACAAAGGACATGATTGGAATGTAGTCGCAGCACATGAGGCACTCGTACTTAGCGCTGGCACCCTGCAGCTGGTGCTTGTAGGCACCCAAGTCGAACGCCGTGATTCCATTCATGTCCATTGCACCCTTCTCACTTGCAGCCTCGCAGCCACGACAGGAAAAGCCCGTAAGGACAGACAATGACAGTGCCTATACCGGATGCATGAAAATTCTGCCTTCAAGGGCACATCCAGAACTGTCATGATCTTCCGCATGTGGCAAACGGAGGGCTGTTGCGCCAATGCGGCATCGAGAGCAGCATCTGACACTGATGTTGGCGATGTCTTCTGCTGCTTCTTGGCAGGCTGTTCGGCATCTGGAGCCCTCTTCGACGAAACTCGCTTGGCGCCGGTCATCGCTCACAAAACGCGGCGCACCAACAATCTGGCTGCTGAAGCCTGAACTGCTAATGGTATACACGTGTTTGCAGCAATGCCACTTCTGCAGCGACACGCTTCAAGAATTGTGGAAATGGAGCGGACCAACTTGCTGCAGGAAGCAATGACCCGGGATCCAGGCGGCTTGGCTGAACTTGTGGCGCAGTCAACTTGGGCACCTATGGTCACAGAAAAAAAACACCTAAAACCTTGTCGAAGCGGAATCACAGCCTGTGTCACAGGTGAATTGGCATCATTGAATACCTGTGCCCTAGGAAGGGTTTAGGGATGTTTAGTTTTCGGGTGTAGTTTTATTGAGGGCTTAGGGGCCGAAAAGGAAAACCGTCTGCTACTCGAAGGCTCCACTTTCAGAAATGTAATCGCGGCTCTTGACATTGACTCTGAAGGTCATGCAATGGTCACGACTCAGTTTGCTGGCTGGAAATGTAAACATGTGGCGGTCATGAACTGCTGAATTGCCTTCAGTGACAAGTTCACGCAGCTCCCCCACATCCCATTGCCTCTTTTAAGGCTTTCAGAAAATACTTGCAGTGGAACCCTTGAACCGTGAACTCCATTTGCAGCAGGCTTTGCCAATTCGCCCACCCAATGCCCTTAATTGCTGCTAACTCAGGTCATGAATTCATCATTCAGGGTGTTCGCAACCCTGCGCCTGAGCCTTCAAAACTCGAAAGGCTCCATCCGCAAACCTACACTCTACATCCGACCCTCAAGGAGGCAACAGCTAGAAACTGCAGGAGCCGAGCCGTGACCTGGAGTTTTCTGCTTTTTGGTGCCATTGCGTTGCTTGTCTTGGGCTGTGGGGCTCTCATACACCTGAGGCAGACTTCAGGATCTGCAGCGCAGAGATTCAAACCTTTTCCGCCCAACCCCAAAAACGAAAGGTCTTAGAGTCATAAGATTCTGATAGGTCATGGGCTGGCAAAGCCGTGGTTCCCCGCATCTTCTTTTTCTTCTTCTTCTTCTTCATCATCTTCTTCTTCTTCTTAAAAACTCCGATTCGAGCGGTTCTTTCAAGGGCCCCTGCGCATGCCGTGCGGTGTTTGACAGCCACAAGCGCAAGAGATTAACACGAAGAATGCCCCAAGGTGTAACACTACTCTCAAATCTGTAGGAAATCCAGAGGGCTCGTACGGTAACAGGGTTCTCTTTATCGATCTGGTTCGTTCAGAAATAAGAGGACCTGTATTTCATGTAGCAATCAGTTCTGTCGGCCGGCGAAAGTTGTTTGATCGATAAAATGGCACGACACAACTGGGGTTTAGGGCTTTGGGCGGTGGCATGAGTGGCGTTGAGGAGCGAGGGCGCAGGAGGTCATCGCAACAAAAGCCTGGTCATAGCCCCTGCGGGCAATACCACACATTCATCGAAGCTAAGCCGAATCGATTCAGACGGCGAAGTCAGTCGAGTTTGAAACTTGTCCGGAAATTTCCTTCTCCCGGCTCTCCCCGAGCCCGAAACCTTTATCCCCCGCCCGCTCCTGCATGTGATTTTAAGCCTCAACTTCGACTTCGACGACAACTGCTCGGGCCCAGAGTAGTTGAGGGTTGCGGGCTTCTGGTTTCGTTGTGTGGTTTTGGGTTGCAGGCTTCAGATCGTGAAGGGTTTTGCACGCTCGAGCTTCGCGAGCTTGACCTGTAGTTTCCCTGCACTTCCCCGGTACGTTCCCTGTAGTTTCCCTCTGGTTTCCCTGAGGCCGCAACCTTTTGGACCTCGCGTGCTCGGGGACGGGCCTGGCCCTTCGGGATTGAAGTAAGTGACTGAAGCAAACCTGATATAAGCCTCTGCCTCGCCCCAGATTTCCTTAAGCTTGGGCTTGGTTCCGGTTGGGGGTTTGGTGTCTGGCACGTTTGCCTGCCATGGTGCTGCGTGCCCTCGCCTTGGGGTTTGGGTTTAGGGAAAAAGGTTCGGGTTTCCTTGCCTCTTGTTCCCTCTATAGTTTCCCTGTAGTTTCCCTTTAGCTTCGTATTTCGGGTATCTCCCCTTTGCTTTCGGCAAGGGCTTAAGGGAGTCACGAATGGGGGGAGGGGGGGTTGCGGTTTCGAGGCTGATTTCAGGATGCAGCCTCCTGATCCAAAATTCTTGCTCGGTGCACACATTGCACTCCTCAAGCAAAGGCAAAAGATCCCCACTGGACGTCCAGGGGGAAAGGTTTGTTTAGTTTATCAAGTGCAGCCCTGAACATCCTCGGGCAAGAGTTGTTTTCTTGCGCGGTGCACACACTGCACTCCTCAAGCAAACGCAAGAGATCCCCACTGGACGTCCAGGGGGAAAGGTTTGTTTAGTTTATCAAGTGCCGCCCTGAACATCCTAGGGCAAAAGTTGTTTTCTTGCTCGGTGCACACATTGCACTCCTCAAGCAAAGGCAAAAGATCCCCACTGGACGTCCAGGGGGAAAGGTTTGTTTAGTTTATCAAGTGCAGCCCTGAACATCCTAGGGCAAAAGTTGTTTTCTTGCTCGGCGCACACATTGCACTCCTCAAGCAAACGCAAAAGAGCCCAGACCCCAGACCCCAGAAAGGAAAGAACAAGACCCCAGATGCAACGAACAGGGATTTTAAGCCCTTGCCGAAAGCACAGGGGAGATACCCGAAATACGAAGCTAAAGGGAAACTACAGGGAAACTACAGGGGAACTACAGGGGAATTAGAGGGAAGAAGAGGCAAGGAAACCCTACACTTTTTCCCTAAACCCAAACCCTAAGGCGAGGGCACGCAGCACCATGGCAGGCAAACGTGCCAGACCCCAAACCCCCAACCGGAACCAACCCCAAGCTTAAGGAAATCTGGGGCGAGGCAGAGGCTTATATCAGGTTTCCTTCAGTCACTTACTTCAATCCCGAAGGGCCAGGCCCGTCCCCGAGCACGCGAGGTCCAAAAGGTTGCGGCCTCAGGGAAACCACAGGAAAACTACAGGGAACGTACCGGGGAAGTGCAGGGAAACTACAGGTCAAGCTCGCGAAGCTCGAGCGTGCAAAACCCTTCACGATCTGAAGCCTGCAACCCAAAACCACACAACGAAACCAGAAGCTCACAACCCTCAACTACTCTGGGCCCGAGCAGTTGTCATCGAAGTCGACCTTGAGGCTCAACGTCGAGGGGCCATGTCCAGGAGCGAGCGGGGGATAAAGGTTTCGATTCGGGCTCGGGGAGAGCCGGGGAGAAGGAAATTTCCGAACAAGTTTCAATCTCGACTGATTTCGCCGGCTGAATCGATTCGGCTTAGCTTCGATGAATGTGTGGCATTGCCCGCAGGGGCTATGACCAGGTTTTTGTTGCAATGACCTGCGCCCTCACTCCTCAATGCCACTCACGCCACCGCCCACAGCCAAGTTCAGGACAACCCTATCTCATTCAAGCAGTTACAGGGTCCTGTTAATTGATTTTTGCATATGCTCAAACCTGAGGAAAAAAAGCAACCTGGTATGGTAAGTCTATTTTCTGGATACATATGACGCAGAAAGCTGTCTCTGACTAATTTTAACTTTTGGTCTGTAGTCGGACCACCCAACATTTGCCAACGCACTATTTTCGGAAAAAACGATGGAGGCGGATACTGAGTTCGCCGGCGCCGGCGAACTCAGTATCGACCCTATGTTCCTTGCATAGGGTACCAAGGGTGCACGAACTCAGTAATTTCCCGGGACAAAACGGAACCCCGTGCAAGGAAAATAGGGTCGATACTGAGTTCGCCGGCGCCGGCGAACTCAGTATCCGCCTCTGTCGTTTTTTCCGAAAATACTGAGTTGACAAATTTCGGGCCGTCCCATTCAAGACAAAAAGTTAATTTGACTTCCACCGCGCAGAGAACAGCATCACAACCTTTATTGCTAATTCTGTTCATCGTGCCTGGTTGTCTGCAGTTGAAACTCCCGCCGCGTTTGCAAAACAACCCGCGTCATCAATTCAGACGGTATTACCCGCGTGTGCGTTTCGCAGCATTGTACTTGAAGGAACAAACCTGCCTAGCCACTAATTAATCTTTGACACTCATGATTTTCAATATGTCGGCATTGATCCACAAGTCGCGCAGGCAGGTTGCTGGAAACAACTTGGGGCTCCCAGCTCGAGAGAGAAGATGCCGGCATGTCCTCGACATGACCAAGACTAACCGGTATAGACGTTTTGGACCCAGCCAATAGAGTCTGAGTGACCATGAGAGTTGGAAGATATTTCTTTGTGTCTGGGCTTGCACTTGTGCCTCTAGCCTCCGGGTGTTGGGGGTGACTGCGTTGGCTGCTGCCCTGAGTGGGGGGGGGGGGGATGAAATCAGAAACCTCACACGACCGAGGCACGCGCGTGCACACACATGCCCATCATCACGGCTGGCCTCGTGCGAAAGATCATGTCAACATGGAAATCCTGCAGCATGTGACATCTTCACAAAACACCAGCGCTGATTGATTACGGTCTTTTTTTGGAAGATCTGCGAGACGTCTCATTGACACTATATGCCTTGCAACAGTCCAAAGAACGGTGCCCGCCATGAACCAAATTCTATATAAGAATGACTGAATCAAGGCAGAACCCTGGCCGACCCGCATGTTTGCAGTCGCGGGTTTTCATATCCTGGAACCACCAAAATTGCTGACACTGGCACGAACGTATTCACAGTTGAGACTGCTGCTCCTCTTGCCTCAGAACGCCAAGGGCCTTCAAGCATACAGTCAAAGCCACTGCCAGGGACGGAGAAGCATTGATGTTCCCCAAAATCGTTTTACACTCAGCTTCTGACAACCCTTTCCAGGACACCTTCTCAGACGGGTAACCGTGCACCCGCAAAAGCTCATTGACACTGAAGAACCTCCTGGCACCGAAGTGGTAGTTGGAGGATGATGTACACAGGGTCGGCACACCCCGAAAACAAACTCCCGTTCCACGGTCACATGACTGGCTCAGGTCCCCCACATAGTCCGAGATGTCCTGCTGTTGCTATTATAACAGGGTTCCTTCCAAAGGTCGTGCTGTTATTATCGCAGGGTTCCTTCCAAAGGTCGTGGTCAAAGTCGTGACACAATCATGATTCACTTTAAAACTCATTAGCGATTGAGGTCCTTGCTTCCAGACTTCTCCATGGCCACAAGCTGCAGCACATCAGCCTGGGCCTTCAACCATGCCGTCTTGGCGCGCAAGGCGGTATCGGTGACACTGACTCTGTCGCTGTTCGGCAGGCTCGTTTCCTCGGACTTGACCCGTTTTTTCTTCACCGCCTTCATCAATGCCTGAGAGTAGTAGCCATGATACTTGGACAGCTCTGCAGCTTCCAGGACGGCGCTTGCCAGACCGTCACTCTGACACTGTGCCTCCAGGGCGCTCCCTGCATCCATGAAGGAGGCCAGGTCGTGATGTGGCAGGGCTTCAACCTTCGCACCCAATTTCTTGGCCTCCTCGGCCAGGTCTTCACCGGTGACTGAAGCCAGGTTCGAGACAAAGATGAAAACACGTCGCCTTTCTGTTGGCAAGGGCCGGGCGCTAAGGACACAGTAACCCACCGAAGCCCCGGTGACTCTGATGTCCTGCAAAACACGAGCCAAGGCGGATTCCATGTTTCCACCACCCCGACAGTACCTCAGATACGGGTTGCCTGCTTCGAAGATAGTCTAAACGATTGTGACCGCATTGTTGGACTCACGCCAGCAACTGTTTTTGCAAACTGCAACCCAGACACGACAAACCTTCAGAATTCTCCAGCACTGCTATTTTGGGCTTCCGCTGCCGTAAGTAGTCGATGGTTGCAAGGTAGCTTGTCTCGTGGACGGCATGTGGATGAAGGACAATGTCTTGCTTGAAGCGGTTGGGGTTCTGAGCGCTGTTGTAGCAACAGCTGTATCCGGCTTGAAACAACTCGACGGACCCCGACCCCGACCCTGCATCTGCCACTTTGCAGAGGCGCATGTGTGAGTAGCAAGGCGCGGGCTCGTTGCCGCAGAGGTCTGCTGCATCCTGCGGGTGCAAGACGCAACCTGCTTATAAACAGGACTAAGGATGCAGCCTGCTCATGAACAGGATTATTATGCGCGCAAGCAATTTCAAACAAGGAATCACACAGTAAAGAAACCTGCCGGTCCTCAAAGACACACTTCGGCGCGCGTCTGTTGCGCAACATGAACTGGACAGCGCTCTTGTCCCAATCACAGCCATACAGTGACACTGATTTCACACCGGCCATCTTGCACATCTTGTCCAAGAGATACTCGAAACTGCCGCTTCCAGAGCACGAGCCCGCCGACCTCAGCGGCTGCCTGGTGGATGCCACAGGGACATACCGTCCGATCCGCCACAGCTCATGCAGGAAATCCTCCAGCTGAAAGGGCGTCGAGGTGCTCTCATGCACTGCGGTTGCCTGACCCTGGGACGCAGAGGGCTGGCTGGCAGCCTTGGCCTTCGCTTCGGCCTTGGCCTTGGCCTTTGCCTTGCACTTGGCCTTGCCTTTCGGCTTCTTTCCCGCGGGGGCGGGTTTACCGGCGAGCCACTTAACCATGGGAGAATAGCGGTGACAGATACGCGGTCACACGTGTCACACTGCAAATTTGCTCTTGAGTACACAACCAAACCTCAAAGCTGGCAAGATGTGCAATGGACGGAATGACACCATGCAGTCATTCACTCAGAACTCACAGCGCTTGGTTGCAGGAAAAACGCAGAACAGTTCAAGTTTCACGTACGCTTGTTTTCGCTCTCACTGCAACAGCAGAGTGTCACAAAATTGAAATCGAGGCCCGACATGGAAAATGGTAACGGACCATGCGTGCGTGACTGCCCCGTGGCAAAATGGGCTGACACCTGACACCTGACGATGATCCTGTTCAAGATCACTCCGCTCCGTCTGAGCCCGGGTCTGGGGATTGCTGGGTGACGCTGTTGTTGAGGAATCCTTCGACCCTCGCCTTCTTCTGCTTGTCCATTGCGCCGATCATGTCGATTGCCTGCTGGTACCGGCGCTTGGCATCGCCTTTCATAGCTTCATGCTCCATCATCTCTTCTTTGTACTCACGCGCCTTTTCAGTCCAGAACTGGACGCTCAGATCCTGCTCCAGCTTCAGCAATGACACTGAGTCTGATGTAAACAGTGAAAGTGAAGACGATTGCGGAATTCTCGCGGTCGTGACACTGTCAGCTGTCTGGTCGTCAGCATCGGGAGCCAGCCAGAACTCCTTAGAAGCAAGAACGGGAAGAATCTACACTCGAACACCTTGTTTCACACGTGAGAGGGCAGGGCCTTAATGCAGGCAAGGGTCTGCAAGTGGACTCTCCTTGAAGTTGTAAAAGGTCCAGTTGTTCGGCATGTTATCCACGCTGTGTTTCACCAGCCCGACCGCATCTTTGCTGAAGGGGACAGCAAGCCAGGCCAAATGACTCAGAGTGTCCTTGTTGACAAAGTAGACGCGGAGCTGCCAATTGCGACCAGGCGGATCAGGCAGACCCGCCTTTCTGAAGATGACACTGACCAGCCTGCAGTGCAACGGCGGCGAGGAAATCTGGTAGAAGCTCAGGAGAGGCAAGGCGGGCGACCCTGACGGGCACTCGTCTGTGCACTTGAACATGAGGCTGACCTTGTCGATGGTCACCGTGTCCCAATCACAGACGGGCTGTGCAAATTTGTCGACCGTGAGATTGAACTCAAACGCGTTTTGACTCTGAACCAGCTTGATGGCTCCCGAGGAAACCTTTTGCTGGAACTCCTCAGCCGGAAAAGACAACCTCAAGATCCTGTACTCAGTTCGCGTGCTTTTCTGCAGCCGCTGCTTTTTTGACAATGGCTTTTCCAGTGAGTCCGGATCCGACCAAGCTAACGAAAGCCGCCTTCTCTGGTCCAGCTTGGCATACTCATGGATGGCCTGACATGATGGAAAATCGACTAATTTAATCCTCAAATAAACTGCACACGCAAGTGACTGACAACAGAGTTGGAGCCTTTTCCGGGTAGTCATGGCATTGACCTTGCAAGGAGACATAGCCGTCATCCTGACGAAGCTTGGCACAGAAGTCATGCCAGTCCATGGTCAACACAGCATAGCCCACGATCGCACGAGACGACTTGGACGGGGCAGCAGACATTGGCTGCGATTGCTAAGCACGAGTGCTGGTGCGCAGTACAGCTGGAGCCGAGTTTGCTGACAGAGGCAAGCACTTTTCAGGCTGATTTGCAAAGGCAACGGGCAACGCACTGAATGCAGTGTTGACATCAGGTTAAGTCTGACAATGACGCTGAGGCTCGCTCCACACAGATTCCACGAAGTGCCCATCTTCACCCCGAGAACGACCTGAGTGGGCATCAAGGAGGTTCTTGATTCGTAAGCCTTCGAAGTCATGACGAGCGCGAAGCATTGACCCCGGAATTCTAGATACCCAAGGCTAGGTCATGGCCCTGCTGCGCACGGAACTGTTTCTCATTTTCCTCGGGACGCTGACACGTCGCGACATCCTACTATGTCGCACGGGGGCGCAGCGGCTTTCGTGACTCCTGATTTGAACCACTGATGCACGATCCTTTTTTGCAAGATTGGTAAAAGAGAGCTTAACTTAGTCTACGTTTTGATTCTCTTATTGAAGTGAAGGTCAACCGCCACGCACAAAATCCCCGTGAGCAGGATGATACAAAATCTCGGAGGCAGACAATGACACTCAGTGAGAAGCACTTGTACCAGAAGCTTCTGAGCAAATCTTGTTGCACAAAGCCAACATGACAATGACCAGATTTATCGGGGTTGTCTCGAAGATCATGCGGCCTACTTGAGTCTTCACAAGTTGAAGGCTGACACTTTTGAGCTTGTACCCATACATGGCAAGGATTTCCTCGGGATGGAGCAGGCGCAGTGACATCCGACACTGACTCTCTGAGATAAGGACCAGGAATTCAGACGAAGAAGAGAGGCGAGGCAAAGCCCCCGCTGACACGTTGAAGGCCTTCTTTGTGTCAGTAATCAATGTCCCCACAGACGGTACCTCGTCCGCGTGGGCTGCCTTGGCCTTGGACTCAAGAATCTTCGCGAGCACAAACATCCAAGCACTTTTTTTGGGCAGCTTCTCGTAATCCTGCTCCACAAGCTCGAGCTTGGAAAGAGTTGCGGGGGTGTCCGGCACCCAACCACCCTTCACAGCATCTGTCAGCAGCTCCGGCAGGTCCATGGTGCAGCGAGGCTTCTTGCGAGAAGGCTCCGTCGCCTCCTCATCTGCCGCGCGAGCCTCGGCCGACTGCTCCACCTCGGCATTTTCGTTGACACTGACAGGGACGCCTGACTTCCCCCGCGCTTTGCGATGTCGAATTGCATCCAAAAATGCCAAGAAGTCGTCACCCTCACGAAGCAAGTAATCTGCGAGTTTGACGCTGCCTGTAGCTTGGGAAACGCAGTGCACAAGCGAGTGCATGTACTTTTGCACGTCCATGCTCTTCGGCACTGACACTGATGTGGCCCCGAATATCAGCCTCTGACCCTCAGCAGGGACTCTCATGGTCCTCAGTGACACTGGCACCCACGCGACCATTTGGCGACCTTCCTGGCAGCAAGCAGCCACTAGCTTCTCACGCACATCTTCCGGCTTCAAGCCGGCGGTCAGGAAAACATCCAAAACGATCACACTCGGTGACTCCTTCGCCACGGCAGACTCGAGAGCATCCAGCGTACTCTGACTTCGTTGATTTTTGCCAGCCGACACGAAGCCCAGGAGTGCCAGGGGTGTCTTGGGGTCTCGGTTATGGACCTTGTCCTTGCGGAATCTGCCCCCAGAGTATTGCACAACGTGTGACACCGGCTCCCCAGTTTCGCCAGCTCTCCCGAGGAACATCCCTCCAGTGTTCGGCAGCAGAGAACCTGTCTGACTCCATAACCAAAACAATGGGTCAATCCCCGGGTAGCAGCCAACCACATCATGGGCACGTGGCTCTTGGGGGGCCAATCCCTGCAGAGCTGAAATGACACTTTCGAGCTCCATGGGTGCCTTGTCTGGGCAGTCAGGATCAAGGGCGGATCAAGGAGGACCGTGGACGCACTCAAATGGAGCAGTTATTGTTGTTACCCCACCGCAATTGAAAATTGGTTTTCAACAGACCTAGTGCAGGATGCAGCGAGTAACTGTGGAAGTTCGGAAGTTCTGAATCTGTGACTCACAAGATCGTTGATGCGCCTCGACTTGATGCAACAGGGCTGCGTTCTAGAGGTTTCACTCCCAGCAAAACAATCTCTTTCCTCAACATAATGAAGGCTGGCAAGGAAACTTAGCCCCTGGCATTGCGTGAACTGTCGATGGCCACACCTGCAAGAACATGTTCTGAGCAAAGGACAGGGGGCAGCAATGAGATGCACACTTCGAATCTGTTTTGCTTAACTAATCCGATGACACGGATGTGGACAGCATGAACTGCCAGACTCTCCTACCCGCACCTGCCCACCCCGGTCCCAGCCACTACAGACTTCACTTGCAAAGGTGGGAAGGAGCGGACGTGTCACTTTACACGCAGAGAAAGCTGATGTAGGGGGCGCACCCAGGCCTATCGCGCCGGAGCTTTGCAGGCATCCAGCGATAGAACACCTGCGCCGCATTTACAGCCACCGAGAAGCCCTTCTGGAGTAGCTTTCTGAGACGGAGTTCAGAGTTCAGATTGCTTACTATACTACTACGTTAACACGAAGCGAGGGAGTGGAACTCGATCCCAAAGCAGCACAGTGGCACAGGACGAATGTTAATTACTGCAGCGGCATCCAGCAGCGCATGCCCACTGTCATGTGCAAGACCGACCTGAACACAAGATTCCCAAGTCCTGTTCCAGCCGACCCACACCAGCGCCAAAGAACATTAGAACACTGTTAGACTCAACGCCCCTGACTGCTAAGAGAAACACAAACTGCAAGTGAGCGCCAGGCTGGTCTCCACAAGCTTGACACTGAAGCTGCTGAGCACCTGCGGGGCAGCTTGCTGAGGGGTACAACAGCGGTAACAGACATGCTCAGGGCAACCAAGGCAGGAGGATTATTTTCGACGCACGAAGCGTGCGGCGGATCGACTTTGCTTCTGACACTGATGGAAGAGGGTTGGACTGCGGTACAACTCACCTGACTCATTATCAGTGTTGCTGCCTTGCTTGGCTTGGGGTTCCCGGGTTGCGGAGTGTCATTGAGTTTCAAAGGAAATCACTGACGGTCTAGTGCTGCAGCAACACTGACACGGATAACGAGTCAAGGTGTCTGGCGCTGGAGCGCCTCCAGCATTGGCCTCTCCTTGCGAATTTTCCTGATCAGCCAGGCGTCCAGCCTCTGCGGTGGGTTGTTATGACGGGCCTGCAGTGCCTGGAGCCTGAGTGAAGCTCAGCACAACCACTTCAACATGACAAGGACATTGGCAATACTGTGGACTCTTCAGACCAGGAGCAAAATGCAGCTGAGTCTGACCCTGGCTTTGTAGCCGAAATCCTGGATGAAGTCGTTGACGGCAGAAACAGCCGTCGAGGAGAGGCGGAGATCCGAAAAAATTTCGTGCCTGAGTGAGCATTTTCTGCTAAAATTTTTAGTGACATCGGATAGATTCACGAGCTGACGTGAACGTGGAATTCAACTGAAGAAGCGAATGCAGTCGAGAATCATGACCTCGTCGAAGCCCTCAGGGGGATCGTCGCCAAAGGAATCCGGTCTGCCCCAATAGGTGGCTGGAGCTGAAGCTGCGCGCCCCCCCCCATCAAACCGCCCCCGCGGGTCGCCTCCCTGAATGCCATCCCCTTTGCCGCCGCCACCTGTCGACACCACCATGGCTCCACCATCACCACTGCCCCAGCTTCCTGTGTTCCATCCTCCCCAACTTCCTGTGTTCCAGCCTCCCCCGCTTCCTGCGTGCCATCCTCCTCCGCTTCCTGCGTTCCATCCTCCTCCGCTTCTGGTATACCCTCCTCCGCTGCCTCCTCTTGCGTTCCGTTGTCCTGTGCTCCCTCCTCCTGTCTTCCATCCTCCTCCACTCCCTCCTCCAGCATCCCATCCTCCTCCCGTGTTCCATCCATCATTTCCTGCCTTCCAGCCTCCTGCACTTCCGTCTCCACCTCCACTCGATCCACTCGATCCTGCTGCGTTCAATGCCCCACTCCCTGCACTGCTCTGCGACCCTCCACCCTTCGCCCCCTTTACTGCTGCCGCCACTGCCTTTGACCCTCCACCCTTCGCCCCTTTTCGTGCAGCCACCGCTGCCTTTGACACTGGTGCTACTACTTGTGGCTGCTGTGGCCCTCCTGCTGGCCCGGGTCGCCCTGGTGGAGGTGGGGGCTTGGGCCTTTGAGTCTGACCTTGATCTTGAACCTTATTCGTGCCATTCTGGCATGCCATTCTCCTTGTTGATCCTTGGGCACCGACAATTTCGCACTGACACTGGCTCGAAGAAGACCCACTACGGTCACGCCTCCTAACTCAGCAACACGATTGCAATCGGATATGCAGCCTCGCATCTCCTTCAGGACGTCCTTGGCCGTGGTGCACAAGTATGCCGGCGGGTCCCTGATGTGGGAGGAGGAGCGGATGTAGTGTGTAATGTCGGAGGCGGCCTTCGGATTGACACTGTAGAGCAAGTAGAGCAGCTTGGCTGACGAAACTGAAAGCATCAGAATCAGAATCTATTATCAATGACCACGCCAATAATGTGGGTCACAGGTGCGACGCATGCATCACTGTCAATGACACCGACACACGAGCGTATTGCAGAATGAGATACTTGAGTGGTCCCGCGGTCCAGCTCCACCTCCGCCACCCACGACAGGTTCTTTGGCAAGAACTTCAAGGCAACGGAGTGGTCCCGACGCGGGGGCATAGGGCGAGGATGACACTCAACCCTAAATCTCAAAAGCTATTAGCCCGAAATCCTGAATCCTAAGAATCCTATAAAGTGATTATCCAGTTCGGCGACAGTCTACTCGTGACCATTGGTGACCCTTGGCCTTGCGTCGCGCACGTGAGTGTGTGACGCCTACGACTGGCTGTTCCAGATCGCGCAGCCCTAGAGCCTGAATGTGACATGGTCATGTCGTGACATGGTCAGCCGGCTTGGGCCAGAACCCAGCAGCGTTCGACAGAAGCAGCTCAAGTCCCAAGATGCAACAGGCGGTCATGAGCGCCAATCAGAGTGACGTGGCTAATGACCCTGACACATGCAGAGAGCCGCAACATTAGTGAGTCAGCTGCAAAGGATGGAGGGGCACCTTCAAGGATGCGAGGCCGAGGAAGCGCAGGCGGCCCGGACGCAGACCTCGACAGGATATGGCAGAACGTCTCAGTCTCAATCCTCGTCTGCAGTTCTGCTTGAAGCTTGGCCAACCAACCCCAAAACTCCGGAGCCCTAAAAAAAAGTCACGTGACTTAGGCCCAGGCCGCCCAAGTCTGCTGAAGTCGCCAGCTCCTGCAGGAATCGGAATAAAGCAAGGAGACAAGGATGCAACGCCAAACCCGGACACCTACTTTGCAAACGGCGGACTTCTGATTTTCACCACTGGCACAGAGCGCGGCTGGCAAACTGACACTGATATCACTGAGACTCGGAAGAAGAAGCCCCATAGCCACTAATTTATTTGAACATTGACTCGGACTCTAGAATGGGAATGATCCCGAGTCTCGATCATTTGTCCCTACGTACTGCACGCGTAAAACAATTGCATCGGTGGATACCAACTAGCGTCATGCGATGTTCGTACGGATCGTACCACTCCTCCCAACACTGGGCACCCTCAGGACGAGTCGGGCGTTGCATGCTGACCTTGGTCACAGATTGTCACGGTGTGTGATTTAAGGGGAAATTGCAACGGTGTTGTATTGGGGATGATGGGACGATATATTTAACACAAGAAGTTCCAAAGGCAAAGCCCAAGTGACATTGAAAGGAGGTGTGGGCGCGGTGAACGTGACCATGCCTTGGGTGGCCGGGCCAGAACTTGGGTCCCTCACAAATAGAACTTCAATTTTCTGAACTTAGTCCAAGGCTCGGCCCGGGATGTGTACAAAGTACGGCTTCATGTCGGGGCCATGGACCCTAGCCATCTCCCAGCCGCAGCCCAAGTGCGCCCCCGGCTGCACCTGTAGACGGGCATGACTATAGTTCATTCTTCTGAACCCTTATTGCACCCTGGCCTCGTTTGCTTTCGGGTGCGGTGTCCGGCTGAGGATGACGTGATTCTGGACCCAGCCACGGGGAAGGTCGACACTGAAATACTCGGGAGGAAGAGGGTTTGAAAAATTGGCTTCGGAAGGTCCACGTCTCAGAATGGGCTCATGTGACACTGTGGCAACGAGGAAGTTGGCCGATGTTGAGGAGGACGGAGCTGACGACCGTGACACTGGGGCGGCTGTGGTCCTGGCTGCCTTGGAGGCCTTGGCCTCTGACCCTTTGGATGGGGCAGGGGTAGCGGCAGCCTTGGTTTTAGCGGCATTGGCCTCCACCCTGGCGTTGTACTCCTCTTCCACCATAGCCTCGAAGTTGACCTTATCCTGGGCCTTCTTCTTAGCCTTGTTCTGGTCTCTCGTGGATTGAATCTTGGACTGCAGCCATTTCGCACGCTCCAACTTGCGCCCCTTACTACACAACACAGAACCCCAAACATCCTCATGGGGACCCCTTAGGGCAATTGGTAGCCCAGTTTAAAGAAAATTTGAGAACCACACTAAAATGAAACCCCACTGCCAATCGGACAGGCTGCTTCCTTGCCCTTCACGGGCCCTGACCCTGAGGCCTTAGGCTGTGCCTTCTTCTTCTCAGTGGCTCCAGGAGGTGCAGCGGAGGATGAAGCCTAATCTGAAGTGTGCTGGGGCGCCATGGTTGTTGTATTATGAAGATCTGAAATTCATAGAGGATGCCAGGCTACGCCGGGGTTCCCACGAACTGCTGATCCAAGAGGCCTGTGGATGACTCTGGCTTTGGTCATCGGGATCCGGGGGTGTCAACGGATTCAACTTGGCTCCCGATGTTTGACCATGGACAAACAAACGAAGCAAACACATATGAATCAACACACTGAGTCTCAGTTCTGGATTCTTATTACTTATTCTGACTTCTTACGACAATTTAAAGAACCGACCAGTCGAGAAGGCCAAGTTACCTGCCCGGTGTCCCCACGCGCGATCGCGGCAGCTCTTGCCTTCGGACGGTTGGCACGTTTCGCCTTGTGCCCCGGTGTCTGAGGCATGGCTCGATGCTTAGATGAAAGGAGGGCTGATATGACAATGACTTGCAGGGAAGGATGGAAGCTAAACAGTTTATTGCGAGTGTTAACACTTCTGACACTGGTGTTGGCTGCTCAGCCTTGCTGCAATACTTATCATCCTTCAATCATCGGGTGACCTATGCCACAGCCCCCATCAACCAGCTCTCCGAGCTTCTGAGCCAGGGCCATTGTCAACGACACGCACGCAAAGGTAGGACTTGGGAAGGCTTTGAGTTTCCTGGGCACCAGGGCCACGGGTAGATTTCAGGGAAACAGTTTAGTCTAGCAGGTGATATTGCAGTCATTAGTTCCACTCTGTTTTTTGGGACAACTGCTCACAGGGTTTATAGTTTAAATGGAGTCGAGTCGGCCTACGCCACAAAACATCAAGTTGAACAAGGAATCCAAAACGGCGGGTGATTCTTGGAAGAATGCATGACCCTGAAGACGCATTGAGACCCCCAGCCATCAACGCCCAAACCATTAATGTTAACCAGGGCAACCCGAGACTTCTGAGAGGGTTAACCCCTGAAAAACCCCAAGCTCCTCCATCTGGCATCGCCACAAGCTGCCGCCAACAGCTGCCCGCGCAACCTTCGGCACAAGGAGAGGAGAAATGCTTGGGTTTCGGGCTGCGGGGTTGTCGCGTCATGGTAATCAGAACGAACTCCGAAACCCTAAACCCTATCAACCCTAAGCACTCACAACCCTGGCCTTCAGGGATGATCTGGAGAGGCCCACGGGAGCCTCATGAGGGCTTAGGGATGTTTAGGGCTTACAGGAAGGTCAGGAACCGAACCGAGAACCGCCAGCCGAACTGCGCGACGAACCGTTCAAAGCTACGAACCGTAAGCGAACCGGACCCCCCACCCCATTCCCCCACCTCCTCCCCCACCCACTCCCCCCCACTCCCACCCACCTACTCCGCACCTCCCCGCCAGAGCTGTAAGGGGTGCAGGTGTAGGGTAGGGAAATGCAAGGTGTGTACTGGGTGTTAGGAGTGAGGGGGTGTACGGGTGTATGGGGTGTAAAGGGTGTAAAGGGGTGTACGGGGTTTAGGGCTGGCGGGTGTAAGGGTGTAAGGGGTGTAGGGAGGGGTGCAAAGCGGGTGCAAGGGTGCGAGATGCAGGGTCTGAGCGGTGGAAGAGGTCGGGTGTGGGGTGGGGGGCAGGGGTGGAGGGAGGCAGAATGGAGGGTGGTGGGGAGTTGGGGGGGGGGTCGGGGGGGGGGGGGGGGGGGGGGGGGGGTGTATGGGTGTCGCAAACCTGAAGCCTGTAGGTCCTCGGACCTGGAGGAGCGGTGCGAGAAAATGCAAGTCTATGGCGCTGCAACAGCACAAAAAAATCGCGAACCTGAAGGCTAGGGAGGCGCGAGCAGCAGGGAGCAGCAGGGAGAGATGCCTACAAAAACCCTTCATAACCTGGGAGCAGCAGGAGACAAATCGCGAACCTGAAGCCTAGCGATTTGGTGGCAGCAGGGAGAGAAATCGCGAACCTGAAGCCTATGCGCCTTCACGACCTAGAGCAGCAAGGAGAAAAATCGCGAAAGGTTCTCCAAAGCTGGGAGCAGCAAATAGCGAACCTGAAGCCTCTGGGCCCTTGGGACCTGGGAGAAGGGAGCAGCAGGGAGAGAAATCGCGAACTTGAAAACCCTCAAGACGCTTGCGACCTGGGAGCAGCAAGCAGCAAATAGCGAACCTGAAGCCTATGGGCCCTCGGGAGCAGGGAGCAGCAGGGAGAGAAATCGCGAACCTGAAGCCTATAAACCCTCAAGACCTGGGAGCAGCAGGGAGAGAAATCGCGAACCTGAAGCTTATGGGCCCTCAC